CAAAACTGGGCTCTGCTACTTCCTTCCAGCAGCTTATCCTTCCTCCCCAGCAGCTCAGCTTCCCTTTGTAAGTGCAAAACCAGCTGAGGAAGGTTTTTTTAATGAGGTGGTCACATCAGGCTCACTGATTAAGATGAGACCATATAAATTAAGCAAATTGACATGGGGGATATGTGTGTGAGCAGAGCTCGGGTATCAACCTGAGAGTAAGCAGCAGAGACCTGCTGGGATAAAATGACACAGAGAAGATGTAAGTCTCAAAGAGACATCCCATTTCCTTCTAGGGTCACCCAGAACCCCCAGATGAACTGAACTCTCCTCACAGAGCTGCTGAGCACCCTGCAGTGTGTGCACAAACCCAGAGCTATCGGCTACAGCTCATCCACCACAATTGCTGCCCCAACTGAATTAGTTTTCTGAAGGATCAGCGACTGATTTATGTTCTCTTCTCCTTCTGCTGAGGCTCATCCTGTCATGGCTGAGTCTGTTCTGCCTTTCCCTTAGTCATTCTGATGTGTTCCTGCCCAGCAGCCACATCATGCACTATTGCTGGGAAGAAGAAAGAACAGCCAATAAACCAAACAAGTCATCAAACTCCCCAAGAAAAACACACATTGCATCCAACACCTGATCCCTTTTGAGCTCTAACCTCCTCTAGCATTGCAGAAAGAAATTTCTGCATGAATGTTTGACATCACCTTAAAGAAAGTTCTGTTTGTCTCCTGCAAAAGCACCTCGGGGCACTCTGTAGTTTTCTAGCAGTAGAACTGGTGTACCACAGACAAATCATGGCCAAACAATTCTTTTGGAAGAGTGAGCAGTGGCCAGAGAAGCAACACCGTGAGGCCTTTCTGAAACACTTGCCCCAAAAGCTCTAAAACAGAGAAAGCTCTTGAGGAGACAAATTCTATGAAGCTTCCTCACCCACCACAAAGTGGTTCAGCTCCCTCAGCCTCAGAGCCCACGCTCCTCACACGTCAAAAGCTCTTTGTGCACGTGACACAAAGGTTTCTGCCTGCTCCTCTGCCCCAAACTGCCTTTGGAAATAGCTGTTTCAGCTTCAACTGGATCAGATTTCAGAGACCGAGGGCCAAGCTGAAAGGACAACTACTAAGACAGTTATTTTGGTGAATGATTAATAAGCCAAACTGCAGAGCACAATGCAGGAGAGCATCAATCTGCCACGCTGCATCCCCCCCTCGGTGTGGGACACACTCCTTGCTTCGCTCCAGGCTCAGGCAGAGGGCAATACCCAGTGGTGCAGAAAACTGCCAGTGCTTCCCAGAGCAGGAACAATCCTCATTTCCACATTTTTTCATCAGGAAATCTCCTAACACTAAAGCAGGACAATAGCAGTGTCATTTCAGGGCTGCAGAAACAAAGAAGTGTCAAGGATTAAGCTCAGTACTTCAGCCAGGAGGGGGATGTGACTCTCTCTGGCCCTTCTATGCCTTACAGACAAGTTCTACAGTGACTCAGAGACACAAAAAGTCAGGCAGGGAGGAGTGGTAGGAGCTAATGAACTTCTCTGCACTAGCAAACTCTGAAGGATGAGCTCAGGGAAGGGGAAGCAGGTGAACAGAAGACTCACTGGGGCATGTGGCACTGGGCAGGAGGCTCTGCCTCCCATCCACCTCCAGAAAGAACCTCATTTCTTTTCATTGGCAAATCCCCAGTGTGTTCAGACAAGCTGAAAGCTCCTCAACAGTTTCAGAAACAGTTTCAGAAGCTTTGAAACAACTGCTGGGCAGTTGTAGGGAATAAGCCAAGGGAATTCACAAAGGCTCTTGGAGAGCTGAGACTTTAGTTCTTCCCATGCAGAATGTGCCTTGCAGCCAGAAGGACAAGATGTCCTCTACTCCCCAGGGACAAAAACTGACCTTGCTGAGCCACTGGGTCCCTGCTCGGAGGAGCTGAGAGAATCTCACGGCACACTTGTGCCATCTGCAGGCACCGACTGCAGCCCAGGCTGGGCCACACACTGTGCGAGGCCAGACGTGGCATCTTCTGCTTGGAACGGTGACAGAATCCCAGGAGGGTTTGGGTTGGAAGGGAATTTAAAGCTCACCTGGTTCCACCCCCATTCCATGGGCAGGGACACCTCCCACCAGCCCAGGTTGCTCCAAGGCCTGTCCAATCTAACCTGGAACCCTTCCAGGGATGGGAAGTGCTGTCTCATGCCCTGGAACAAAAGGTATTCCATACCCTGTAGGAAACAGTGGCTTAAGGGATGTCTTTTGAGATGAGGAAAGGTTTTCCTAACTGTGATTTCAACGTGATTTGCTCAGTAACTACACGACCAAGGCAGACGATTCCAAGCTATAAACCAAACCAACCCTCAAAGAATCGGTGTGATCCTGCCCCGAACACCTGATTTTACAGCCAGTGAGACAAGTTCTGAACGTGCAGAGCGAGCCCTGAGTACCATGCAGAGCCCCAGTGCCCTCTGACCTGTGACAGGGTCGTTCTCCAGGGACATTCGGCTGAAGGCAGGAGTGGCGTTGGAGATATCGGACAGTGTGCGACGAGCAGTGGCGACTGGGAGCGGTGGTTTGGGGACGTCGTAGCCATCCTCTTCATTTTCTGACTCCTCGGGGCCGTTGCTGGCAGTGGCTGCTGCCCCTACAACAGGAGGCACATGCTGAGCTCTGGGACTGAGCAGATCCTCCGTGTCTCAAACAGAATCTGTTCCCCAAATGTGTTCCCCAAATCCACCAACACTGACAGGACACAGCACTAAGCTTTTCCTGCTAAAATTCAGCTCTTTCCAGAAAGGAGCATCTTGATAGATGCAGGGTACAGTGCACAGACCCAGATATTTCCACATACATTTGCTATTTTAACAACAAAGCGAACATTACTTGCTTCTTTTAGCCTAAAATGCTGTTCCAACTGGGACTCATCCCATTGTACCCCAGTTTCTCAGTTATTTTTTTTAGCACACCTACTCACCAGAAGTGTTGACAGCCTCAAAAGTAGAGGATGCTGCTTGGGAGTGGATGTTGTACATTGCTTCATACATGGAACCCTCTGGCTGCTGCTCACAGTCCAGACCTCTGCGGGAAAGAACACATTGCCCTTCACACCAAGTGCCAGTGCTCATCACCTCCACCTTGTCCCTGAGATCCTGCACAGATCCTTGTGAAATCACCACTGTTCTGGCACATATTTGGCCCAGAAAATGTTCTAGTAATGTCTATTGCCACTCACAGCGGCTCAGCTTCAAAGAGTTTAACTGACACCACCAGAACACACATTTTATAAGAGGTTTGGAAGTCAGTTTTCTGCTCACCAGAGGTTACTGGCAGAGAGAGGGGGAAGTGGAGATCTGCCTCCATTAACACTGTCCAAGGACTCTGCAAAGAGCAGTGGTCACATTGTTTTCCCAGCTATTTTAGTCTGGATCTGGGGAACATCACTGGGGGAATTCAGCGACCCGAGCAAGCAAAATCCCCACCCTAGTGCCTCGATGTGCTGTCCCAGAGCTGTGAGGAGGAAGTTTAGTGCCACACACAGAGACTCACCGTGAACTCTGAGGCATTTCCAAAGGCATTTTGAGCTCTGGTTTTTGTACAGCAGGACCTGGAGGCACCACAGGCAGGGAGGATGGTGACATGTACTCGGTGTCCTCGTCGCTCTCAGACTGCTCCCCAGGAGGCAGTTTTGGTACAGGCAGTGGTCTGGAGGGAAGAGAAATGAGAGAAACATCAGGGAAACATGTTATATATTTACATACACCTAACACAGAGATATGAGTACACCTAATCAATGGCAAAGTGCCCTTTAAAGTCCACAGGGGAGTAACAAGCAATCGTCTCACAGCACTTCTGTGAGCAATCACGTGGCTTTCAGGCCTCTCAGCTGAAGGTCACCCTGGCACAAGGTCATTGTGCCAAAGAAAGTGACAATTTCAGACACATTGACCACACATAAAAACCAACTCAGAAGTGAAATCATACAGAGCTAAAGGCAACTGTTGTCTGTGTGCTATTGCCACAGCCAATGGGAATCACCTCCACTCCCCACAGCTTTCAGATTTCAGCTGCTTTCTCTAGAGTTTGGATTTTAGATTCTCTAGATTCTTGATTTAGATGCTTTGATTCTGTCAAGAGACAGAAACTGGACACAGAGTTGTGTCAGATTCTGTCCCTGGCACCAGCACCCTCTGCTTACCACTCATAAAAGAAAAGCACAGACCTGGCAGCTAAGGAGTAAATGGCATTGGCAGATGAGGAGGGTTTGATTTTGGGGTGTTCACACTCTGAGGTTGCTGTTGCACCACTGTTGGAGCTCTGAAAGAAAAAAGGCCACACCAGGAATCAGAAACACCATAGCTGCAAAGCTGTCAGGATGGGGCATTCACCACAGCCTCTGTGGGGATGGAGCACCTTCATTTGTTCCAAACCAGTTAGAAATCTCAGAGTCCTGTGCCAGTTTTCCCTCAGGGAGGACACAAAGAGTTTTTCCTCCTGCAGAAAAAACTTCCTATCTTTTGAGACACCAACGGCCTGGGCAAATTCAGTTGAACTAGGCCAAAATGGGGGACAATGTGCAGGGCCAAGAGTTTGCTCTCAATGATCCTTGTGGGTCCCTTCCAGCTCTGAATATTCTGTGAGCGCTCAGACTGGGATTTCACCCTCCCAAGAGGCAGGAAAGCACTTCTCTAAGGAGTCCTGCCTTGCCTGGCACCCACCAGTTCCTTCCCATCTCTCCCTTGGCACAGGATCACCCAATTCAGTGCAAACTATGGGCATCTCTTGTCTTACAGGATTCAATCCTGTGCCATGTGCTCAGGGCTGGTCCTGCTTGAGGGAAGTTGAACCAGACGACCCGCTGTGTCCAACCAAACTGATTCTGGGATTCTGCGATACGAGAGCTCTTCTCACGCCTTGCAAGTCATTTTCTCACCGTGCCTACTCACCCCTAAAAATTCGCCTAAGGGGAGAGTGCTCCCAAGCCGATGGCTCTCAGCCCTGGAGTCCATCTGGGAGGGCAAGGAGAAGGGCAGGGAGTGCCTGTTGGACAGCTCTCTCCCCGCCCAGGGGTCGCCGGGGCTGACAGCTACAGGTGGAGCCTTGGGGATGGGCCGGGATGGCCACAGCTCTGCCTGGCGGTTGGAGGGCACTGGGGGGGGCTTGTCCCTGGCAGGACAG